TCGCTGAGCTAAATCCCCAGCCCAGGAAATTCTTCACAGGAATTTCTATGGAAAATAAGCCTGGGGTTACTGGTAACCATCTTATTACCTCTCTGGAGAGAAGAAGCAAAGCAAAGAAATGGGCACAATTTCCTGGTGATATCATGTAAAAACTTGGATCCAGTGAGACTTGAAAACTATCCCCAGAATTTTCAGCTGGGGTCAATAATTCCTCCTCTTCTCCAGACAGCCAGATTTCTATCAGTTGCATGTGAAAGATGCCTGACAAATGACCAATTAGCCTAGTTCTACATACTGCAGAACTCAGTACATGGAGCCATCAAGATGATCTCCTGCTACGTCCAGCAGTGGCTCCAAACTTATTCCACCAAACCCAGCTTCCTTGGTCTGAGCAGATGCTGGCTCCTTTCTTTCCATAAGCCTCTCCAGCTGGAGTCTCAGTTCTGTCTGTGTAGTCCTTAGGAGATCTAGATGTCAATGGCCCAGAGGCATCAGTGGGAAATGTCTGGAATTTTATGAATTCAAAGTATTTGAGAGGTAAAATTTCAAGAATATGTAGAGAAAATAATACAGGTCCCTTGTAGTAGGGCAAAGGGCTAGATTTAATGTAGATTGAATTATTTGACTTAATTGAGATAGTAAAATATTCACAAAGTTTGTAAATGTTAGGCCAGAAAATATAATTCCATGGGAGAACTACTTTAACATAAGGATAGCTCCACTCCATGTACTTCAGTTGAATAGGAAATGTTCTAAAAGATTCTTAGCTTCAAAGGACAATGAATAAGTCCTTGGTCAGCATCTTTGATAGGTGGCCAGTCCTTTATTTACAGGGAGCCCTCTTCTGAGAGAGTGTGTGTGCACAAAACAAAATCACCTTTAACATTACACTTTCTAGCAAGCAAGAAAGGAGAAACAGCCTACAGGCTGAGGGCCAGGAGTGATCAGTCCTTTTCAGAGAAGCCCTGCAGATTGACCCTATCTCTAGCATCCTTTCCATCTATCCAGAGCAGAGGATGAAAATCCCAATCTGCACCTGCAGGAATGGGAAGTGGGGTCAATGTAGCAGAGCAGAAAGAGCATATGTTGAACCCAGATGGGGTATTCAGTTGGGATTCTTCCATTCATAATCTGTGGGACATTGGCTTATTCTCCCTTAGCACATGCATCTTTATAAAATGGAGATGATAATACCTTTTTCAGAGCATAGTTTTGAGAAATAAACAAGATTGAATGAACAAAGCTTCTAGAGTATTGCCTAATGAATATCTTCATAAATGGCCAGAATAAGAACAATGATGACAAATCTGGGCAAGTTTGATCAGCAGAATATTGAAGTTTCAACTTGAAGCTTGTACAATGCCTGATATAATAGCAAGTGTTGGCTCCTTTCTTCTTTCTGTTTTTCCCAGGTGTGTTTAGTCCCTGGGATAGAACCTCTAGTAACTGCATCTGAGAAATGCAGGAAATTTGATAGAGGACATTAGAGCTCTAAAAAGTCTTAGTTTGTCTCTTTGACCTAGTAACTCTACCTCTGAAAATTACCCTAAAAAGTAATCTAGAAGAAAGAAAAAGTCACTTGTACTAAGATGTTTATTATAGAATCCTTTGTGACAGTGAAAAGCTACTACTACCCCATAATGAGGTCAGTTCAATTATGGTAATTCATCTGAATGGGCTATTCTGTGGTCATTGAAAGGATAATTTCAAAGACTAAACTGTACAACCACATGGAAACCATTCATGATTTAATGGTGAGTCAAAAGATACACACAGACTGTGTCCATATTGTGACATACTATGACACAGGTGTGTGGCCATATGATAGGCACCATCAGGAGTTTCTGTCCCCTCAGCGTTTCATTTTTATCATCTTTACACACTAGATTAGTGTATTCTGTTGGGGGAATTTGCTAATCTATTACAATTGACTTTACTGTTTGACCAGATATAAGTATTAATTATACATAAAATTTAAGGCCAAGATTCTTTGGAGTAGCAGAAATTATGATGGATTTTGATCATGCATTTCAACTTTTGTTGATGGGGCTTATACTATAAATAAACATAATTTAAATTGGAATGAGAGAATTACCCTCTTGTCTCCATTTACAACAAACATTAACAATACTTTAAAATAGAATTACGGCATGATCATTCTGTCTTTATTTCACTTTGCTTAGGAAAAATGAATTATTTGAAATAGGTTATTTATTTATCTATTTATTTATTGGTACCGGGAATTGAACTCAGGACCTTGCACTTGTGAGGCAGGCAGTGGAACCACTGAGCTAAATCCCTGGCCCTGGACATAGGATATTTAGAATAAGGCCTCTTACAGAGTAAATAATATATAAGAGCTGGTAGCATTGTCACACAGTACATAACTAGGCATTATTCTTACATGAATTAATGCATATAATCCTCACAACAATGCAGGAGGTGGGGAATATTAGTGCGTGTAGAGATGTAGGAAGCCTGCATGGAGATGTTAAGCCACTTGTCCAGGGTCACACCACCAACAAGAGGTGGAGCTGGAGTTCCCCTGAGGGGCCAGGAGCCAAAGCCTTGCTCCTCACCTTTCTACTGAAGGGGATGCCCATTAAGCACATAGCTATCTATCCTTGAAGCTTCTGGAAAAGAAATCCAAGTGGCCCGCTAAGCTTTTAAGGGAAACGATCTTTGAGTCCCTGGGCCCCCAGAGAAAAGGTGATGAGAGGTGGAGAGGCAGATGAAGGAAGCAGGCCCTTGTTTCTCCATCTTCTGGAATGGAGAGAATGTGGACATGAAGTAGCCAACCTTGGCTGTGGACTCATTTGTCTGTTGGTGGAAGAGTAGAGGTTGTGCATCCATGACACATATATTGCTGAAGTCACACAAGAAGTCTAGTTGGCAGACAAGGAAAAAGGTCAGAACTACAGGAATCCAAGGGTTGCTTCTGCTCCTTGGCCACTCCTAGTTTCTAGGGCTCAGGAACTTAGAGGTGGCCTGAGATGTCACCTGGAACATGACCCCTACTCTCCCAATTCAGAGTAGTCAAATGCCTTGACTTCTGCTGCCCCATTAGGCTTCTCATAAATAATCACTACATCTTTAGACAGGAAGGTTTGTAGAGAGGTGTCACTGTCCCCCAGCTCTGCCCCTGGGCTCTGTCTGAGGCAGCACCACCCTCTCCTCTCTGATCCCCACAGCTCTCAGAAGATTTCCAGTCTCCTCAGCTGGCTCTTAACTCCATAAGACAATGCAGGGCATGGGCTTACAGTAACCTGGGCAAAGCCAGCTTGAAATCAGAAGCTGAGCCCAGGACAGAGCTGCCCCAGGTGAAGGAGAGACTTCCAAGGAGCAGGGTCCATAAGGAGCCAGCAGCCAGCAGCCAGGGGCATGACCAGGAAAGCCCAGGTGCTAGAACTGAAGGGCAAGACCGAAGGCCAGAAGCCAGGCTGTGACCACAGGAACAAATCCTTCATTACCTCTTGGAGGAGTGATCCCAGCTGAGGGAGCACCCAGAGGTTGACCTGAACCATGAAGTACTCACCTGAGACCAAGGGGAGAGTTGGCACTGCAGAAACAAGTTGAGTCAGAAACATGTTAGAGGCTGTGATCTAAAAAGGGAAGTCCAAGGTTCACCAAGTAAAGGGGCCAGAAGTAGCTGTAGCAGCTGGGTTGTGGAGCCAGGAATCTGAGAACTAGGGAGATGAGAGCAAAAATAGTAGGTCCAGGGTAAACAGGACTGGCTAGAACATGTGCTGTTTGTGGCTCACCCTGGTGGGCCAGCTGGGCATGATGGGAGTGGGGGCCTGCTAATTTAAAGAGCCAGGGCAAGCCTCAGTGTCTAGGAGACCTTGAATCCAGCCCAGCCTGGAAGCCTCTGACAATAGCTCAGGCTGGGTCTGAGAAGTCTGGGTAGGTTTTCTTCTGAACCTGCAGCTGGTGGATCAGATTGAGTCTACAGGGGAAGGGAAGGCTGTGCTGGAGATAAGGACAAACCTCAAGGGCTGCTTGGGTGGAGGGACAAGTATGGGCACTGTGTCTTTGGCTCTGTGGGCCAGGCGTGTGTAGGCCTGCATGAGAAAGTAGGGCTCCAGGAGAGAGTGGTTGGTAAATCACACGTTCCAGATGTGGAGCAGATGCCAGGCTGCCTGTCAGCGGATTTGACCGAAGCCCAGATCAGCTGTCAGGCTCAGGCCACTGGCCCTGTTCCTGGCACATAGAAAGTCTGGGAACTCACTCTCTATGAAAGGCCTCATGGCCCCACAGAACCACATGTGGGTGAGCAAATGTATTCTCTGAGCCAGGCTTGACAAGTTGATTTTATGACGCATGGAGGAAGAAGGTGAAACGCCTTGATCATTAGCTCACTTCCCTTGTGGGCAAATCTGGCAAGGAATCCAAGCTGTGGAACGGGTTTCTCCAGTACACACAGACCCGTCTGTCAGTGTAAGTTTGGCTGCTCCATTAAATCCTTGGCACCTCAGAGGGTGTCCCTGGTTCACCTCTCAGGCCATGTGCTTTCTCTTGCAGGCGACGTTGCTGGCTTTTCCTGGAACAGCTCAGGACACAGGGACCATGCAAAGACTGCACTGTGTCAGAAAGGCCAATAGCAGGCTTAACCCCTACTTAACCCCAGCCTGCCATGGTGGCCTGATGGCTTATGTGGCCCCTATGTGTGTCCTTTTAAATTCTAGCTTACTAGTCACAGGAGTTAGGCTTCTTCTGCCAAAAATAGGGCTCTGGCCACATCTCTAAAGGAGGGCCCCTGAAGCATACACAGAGGGCTGGCTGCCAAGACTGGCAGAGTGAGACAAGTACTTGAAATAAACTCAGGGTGTTTGCTTACGGATTCTTCTCCACCACCTCATGGGTGAGTCAGATGACTTCTCACCCCACATTCTGTTTTTACTTACTTTTTTAGTCAGAGGCGGGGGTGGGAGGATTCTGTAAAGTTTAAAATATACCCCCAAATTATATACTTTTGTCTTTGGAGTTTTCACCTACAATAGGGATCCTTTCATTCTTTGATGTGGTAGGGAATTATTTTTGACTTTTTCAGTTTCATTCTCATTTAAGTCATCTTGGGCTTGGAATGGGCTCTGGGAAATAGGTGGAGTCTCTGCTGTTTCTAATTAATACCTGTAGGTTAGTCAGTCTCCCTCTGGAAGCTTCTCACTGGTAAACATAGAAGCTGTGGGGCATCCTTGGGTAGCGGCAGCTACCGCTTTCTGTAGTCCTGGAGCCTGACCCCCGACTGCTACCTCCCAGACTTGCCATGATAGCAAGTTAGGTCACTCGTGAACGTGTTTTCAAAAGTACCATGAAGCATTCCTATGAGGAATAATTATTACTATACACCATGCCAGAAAAATAAAATCTGTTTCTCTTTTTCTTCAGCCTTCTTCATGTTCCACTTAGCCTTGTCTGTGGATGGTCCTTTTTTGGGATTCAAGGCAAATCCCTATTTCTGCTTTTGCTGCTGCTGTTCCATCTCCTTTCCACTCCCCAAAGAGGTCATAAATTTATTATTTGTTCATTATTGTAATAAAATATACATCACAAAATGTACCATGTTAAACACTTTTAGGTGTACGGTGGCCTTAAGTACATTTACATTGTCATACAAGCATCCCACCCCATCCATCTCCTGAGCTGTTTTATTTTCTAAAACTGAAACTCTATACCCATGAAGCAACAGCCCCTGGTTTTCCCCTCCCCCTGCCTCTGGCAACCTGAATTTGACCATGATGGGTATCTCATTTATGTGGAATGGTACAGTATTTGTCCTTTTGTGATTGGCTTATTTCACTTAATGCACTGTCTTCAAGGATCATCCATGTCTGCTTAGAGAGGCGAGTGGTAAAATTTGTAGAACTTTGAGTAGTAAATAGAAAAAACATTTTCTCCCAGAAACTATTGTAAATTTGGGGAGGGGGAGCTGAATGGTTTATACACTTCTTTTTTAATGTAGGTACTGTTTGCAGCTGTAGAGTTCCTTTCTTGAATAAGAAATAAAATACATTGTGAATCTATATCTTAGATTTCATCTGGACAGGAGCTGAGTGAGACATAAATCTGTGATGTGTGGAGCTGAGTAACACCCTTCCTCCCACCTGAGATTTCCATCTGATGACTTACCAGGGAACCAATGAACTTCTGTGAAGAATGCTTAAACCATGCTCGGAAATGGGGTCAGGCATATGCTGTCTCACTGATACTTTTTGGAGTTCTGGCTGCAGCCACGTTTCAGGAAAGCAGTTTGGATTCTCAAAGGAGAAGTCACTGAAGGTCCAACTAGCTGGCCTAGAGAGCCAGACAGCAGTAGGCCTGGTCTCCAGAGAGGGGCAGTGCCAAGGTCTCTGAGAACGCTTGGAGGAGGGCCCAGGTGCCATAACTAGGTGACATGCTCAAGTAGCCTCTGTAATGCTTTGGGACCCAAAGCAAACCTGTGAAGGACAAAGGGTGCCATTCTCCTCTTCCTCTTGGCAGTGACTAGGGCTATCAGGGGCTTGGCAGTTGTGTTGGAAAGTCTCCATCCAGTTCAGCAGAGACAGCATGGTGGCGGGGGGGGGGGGGGGGGGGGGGGTGGGTGCTCTGAATGCTCCATGACAGTATAAAGCAGGCAGGAACTCCAACTCTCAAGCCTGATGGAGGGTCTAGCAGGTCTAGTATGCAGAAATACAGGCCAGCAGCCTGGGAAGGGCAAGCTGATTCATCTTTACATGTAAGTCCCCCTCAGGGACTTCTGGAGAGTCTTAGGAGAACTTCACGTGAGACTATAATTCTGGACTGACTGGCTGGCTGGGGCACCAGGCTACTGAGAATCTGATGTTCATATGGATAAAGCCCTACTGTACCTATTTGGCTGGTGAGGGCCACCAACCTTTGGGTTACATATGTTTGATTTGTTACTAACATAATTGCATGATATATTCTATTTCCAATTCATTAATCTCATTTCTTTTTCCAAGCAGAGCTACAAAATGTCATGATGTAGGAATTATATACCTGTTTTGACTACCTTATACTCAGGAGGATACTCCAAGGATAGATGTAACCGATGTTAACAGTTTATTTTCTGAATTTAGTCACATTTTCAAAGAACAAAAAGACGCTGAGAAAACAGGAAGTAAGGGAGCCTTGAAAACTATGGAATGTAACTTTTCTGTGTGGAGGTTTGTCTGATCAGTTTCCTTTGCAGAGTGACCATGCTATCTGTGGTTTCTGCTTCCTCTCATGCTTCATTTACTGTCATTCTAGATTTGTGGGAACCGCAGGGTGTTTGGTCAGAAGTGACATGTTTTCTTGAGCCATTTCTATGCCAGCTTCCTTTAGGAAGGTGCTTGAATATTTCTAAATGTCACCTGGGTGGGTTTTAATGAGTCCTGACTCTTAAGAGAAACATCTAAATGGTTCCATTTAGCTCAGGTACTGGAGGACAGAAGTGCTAGGCAGGTCTCCATCCTTCCTTCATGGGTGGTCCTGGGAACTAAACCCAGGGCCTTCACACTGAGCTATGTTCCCAGCCCTCCCCACCCCCATTTTGTTTTTTCCTGAAACAGGATCTTGTTAAATAGTCCAGGACGGGGTTGAACTCACTATTGCACCCAGGCTAGCCTCAAAATCGTGGCAATTCTCCTGCCTGAGCCTGAGAAGTGCTTAGATTACTAGTGTGCACCACCATGGTTGGCCCCATCCTTCTTTTGATGGGGCTGGTGAGTGTCCTGACCCTATGAAAACTAGGCTTTCCAGAGAGGGTGGATCTCTTAGGGTAAGATGGTCTTGAACTATGGATGGGCATTGGTCCTGCTGGACCATGGATGGCTACACGGAGGTACCTGTTGATGAGATGACCTTGCTCAAGGACAATAAGTATGGCAAAAGCGATTCATCAACATGGGCATCAAATGTTGGCTGATTCTGAGCATTGGTGGGGGTCCCTGTGGTCCCTGGGTGCTGTCTACTGACAGAGGTTCACCTGGCCCAGGTAAAGCATCTCTTGGTGCTGATCCTCATCATCATGTGGCCACTGAAGGCCTGGAGGCTCTGCTGACTTTTTTCTTGTACCACTGCCCTCTCACTATGATAATTCCAGTATTCACTGTTGAAGTTAGTCTAGGTCTTCATCTGTTGTTTTTCAACTGTTTTTTTTTCTCACCAGGGATCGAACTTGGGACCTTGCGCTTGTGAGGCAAGGCAGGAGGCAGAACCACTGAACTAAATCCCTAGCCCTCAACTTAAAAAAAAACAAACCCAGAAATCTTCAAGCATATGGAAAAATGGGAACAACAGAACAGAATGATTCTTGTATTCACTTAATCTTGATTAAAAAATTGCTAATATTTTGTCATATTTACTTTAGTAGAAAATCTATATGAAGCACTTCAAATTACACTGTAGATTTTTCACACCTAACCACTTCACTATTCAGCATATATCCCCTGGGAATAAGAATATTTGTCTAGATAATGACAATGCAACTATCACACTGAAGAAAATAGTAATTTGTTAATATCATCTAATTTAAGCTGTGTATTCAAATCTTTCCAATATGAGCTTTTAAATTGATTCTTGAGAACCAAGATTCAATCAGAGTTCATGCATTATATTGTAAGACCCAGATGGCACAAGTAACGCCATCTTGTTACAGGCCCTCCATCTTGTCCCTGTGGGTTTTGGGTTCCCTACAGAACACAGAGTTCCCGGGATGTACTTGTTTATCTGTTAAGACACCAGGAATGTACCATTGTTTCTGTGTAAGGAACATCCTGTTTGCTAAGTAAAGAACATCTGCAACCCCCGCCCCTAACCGTCCCCTAACTGCAAAAATTCCGCTTCTGTAGTTCCGCTTGCTAAGCACCCCTGCAGCCCCTATAAAACCTTCCAACCCCCTGAACTCGGGGCCCTCTCTAAGCCTGTTGCTTGGAGACTGCCGTCTGGCCAGACTAATAAAGGTCTGTTATACATTTCCAACTTGTCGGGTGTGTTCCTTCCCGGGTGTTCTGCACTGCGGTCAGCTCCTCGGAGCGTTTAGTAAGGCCCTCGGTCTGACAATATTTAGTCACATTTTAAAATCTAATTTATTCTAAAACAATCCCCATACCTATCACCATGCACTAAATTAAGATCTAAGTGGATTAAAGATCTAAATATTAAGACAGAAATACTAAACTTGCTGGAAGATAAGTTAGGTAGAATTCTTGAAGACACTGGCATAGGAAAAGACTTTATGAACAAAACCTCAGTAGCACAGGAACTATCACAAAGAATCAACAACTGGAATATCATCTTATTAAAAAGCTTCTGCACTGCAAGAGAAACCACCAACAGAGCTAACAGACAACCTACAAAGTGGGAAAAAATTTTTAGCAGCTGTACCTTAGACAAAGGACTACTATCTAGAATATATAAAGAACTGAAAAAAATCAGACCCCCCAAATTCAAAGACCCAATTCAGAAATGGGCATCTGAAATGAACAGACCTTTCTGAGACAAAGAAGTAAAAGCAGTAAATAAATATATGAAAAAATGTACAACATCACTGGTCATTTGAGAGATGCAGATGAAAACAATACTGAGATTCCACCTTACCCCAGAAAGAATGGCTGCTATCAAGAAATCAACCAATAACAAATGCTGGCAGGGCTGTGGGGAGAAAGGAACCCTTCTCCATTGTTGGTGGGAGTGCAGACTGGTGCAACCACTATGGAAATCAGTGTGGAGATACCTCAAAGAACTAGGACTAGAGGTCTCATTTGACCCAGCTATTTCCCTGCTGAGTATCTTCCCAAAAGAATTAAAAGAATCATACCACAGTGATATATGTGCACCCATGTTCATAGCAGCACAGTTTGTAATAGCTAAGGATTGGAAACAGCCCAAGTGCCCATCAACTGGAAACTGGATAAAGAAGATGTGGTTTTTTTTTAAAATAAAATGGAGTACTACTCAGCCATAAAGAAGGAAAAACTAGAGTCATTTATGGCTAAATGGATGCATATTGAGGCCATACTCTTAAGTGAAGTAAATAGGACACATGTGTAAATACCGAATAGTTTCTCTAGTGTGAGAAACTGAAAGTGTAAATAAGGATTAAAAGGATTAAAACAAATAATTGATAATTTGAAATAGGAAGAAAAGGTCCAAAGGTGTAGGGGTGGTGGGAGGGGAAGGAGAAAGGAAAGAAGGGAAAGGAAAAATTATGAGAAAAGAAAAAAAATGGAAATGAAGCCTATGTAAATAGGGAAGGGTGGAGGGGTGAAGGGCGCACAGGTAATGGGGAAAAAATAAGATGTACAGGTGCATGTACAGGTACGAGCACCCAATGATAAATGTAGATGTATACCTAAAATGTACCAATAAAAGAATTTAAGAAAAAAAATAAAACAATCTTACTTTTTGGTTACATCTGAGGGATTAGGACAGTTGTATTGTAGAATGCTCCCCTTCTACTTTTCACCTTTGTATTTTCTGTAAACTAGAAATGAATTTAAAGGATTGATTAGATTTGCTTAATAATTTTGGTATGATGCTCATTTTCTTAAATGGACACACATGATGTCCTATTGCCCTTGGAGTTTGCCTTTTGAATTTCCTCTCTCTCTGTCTCTCTCCATTCTCTCTCCTTTCAAAAAGCAATTGGCAAATTGCTTTTTGTCCTTACTGCTATCACTACTTAACTATTTCACAAACCCTTTTTGAAGTCAAAATCCGAGCATTGAATCTCTCTGTATTCCAAGCCATGACAATTCTCTTTTTCCCTGAGGCAATGCATAATTCTCACTGGCTACTCTTTTTTTTTGGTACTGGGGATTGAACTCTGGTCCTTGTGCTTGTGCACCAGGTGGCGAAACCACTGAGCTAAATCCCCAGCCCCGTCAATGCATAATTCTCACTGGGGAGAAACAGAGTATAAGGAAATGCCAAAATGAAAAAGCACCTTGATGGATGTTTTAAGCATCACTGCTGTACACCTGTGCAGAATACAGTTACTTGCTGTGGAGGGCAAGGCTTCTGAAGCAGGTGAGAAATAAGAGGAAGCAGAAGACATGCTTCAGGGGTCTTGCTCCAGAGTTAGAGGACATTTCCAAGAGCCCCAGATTGTATTCTTATCTGTATCACGAGGAACATGGAAATGAGGAACACAGAACTTTGGTCCTTTCCTGATACCACATCCCAAAGATAGAGCTTATCACACAGCTGATCACATTTGTCAGCAGTGCCATCATTTTTGATGTTGACATTTTTGCTGTTGATTCAGGTCTCAGGTATTTGTACTAAGACAAATTAACTATGAAATTCCTCTTGATTCTAAATAGAGTCTTATAGAGTTTTTATCTTGTTGTGACTTTTATAAATAGTCTCATGTATTCAATAGGGAATGGATCAATGGTTTCCATTTCATAGGGGAAAAAATCAATCTTGAACTTCTTCCTTTTTCATGTTAATAAATGTTTATTGAACCCTTATTCTACACCAGGAGCTGCATTAATCCCTGGGAATGTAAGTTACCTCGAGCCTACATTTTGTTAGTAGTAGGAAAGAGGACACATGTACAGACATTTTTACTGTAAAATGACAGAGGTAATTACTAGGTGTTAAAGTATTAATAGGCATAATTCGGCTCTCACTTCTGGAAAAGATGCAATCTGAGGTGGCAAAGTGGACAAAAAGAGGCCTGTTGGCTTGTTCTCCATGGATTCAGTGCATCTAGCACATGGTAGCACCTAGTACATGGCTTGGTTCATGGCAGTCATTCAATACAGTGAATTTATGAAAGAAATCTTGGTGGAGAAAATGTTATAAGCACAAAAAAGGATGAGAGACTGCAAGTAGCTTAGAATTACAATATTAATCCTTAAGGAATGTGAAATAGGAAGAAAAGGGGCAAAGGGGAAGGGGAAGTGGGAGGAGTAGGGGAAAGAAAAGAAGGGAATGGAATTAATATGAGAAAATGGAAAAATGGAAACAAAGTCTTTGTAAATAGGGAGGGATGGAGGGGTTGAAGGGAGGGTGGGGCAAGGGTGAAAAATAAGAACCAAGAGAGATTATGTAAAGGTGCAAATTTCCAATGATGAATGTCATTATATTGTATACCTAAATTGTACCAATAAAATAAAATTTAAAAAAAATCCTTATGGATTCACAGGCTTTGGGAAAGTAATGAAAACCATGGAGCTTCTTTGTAGAAAAATAAACATATGCTCAAACTTTAACAAATAATTTTAGGGTATATAGTTATCCCTGAACCCCAAACACATTAAGAATCTCTATAGTAGAGTGTTGGAAGCATAAATATTTTAATTTTATTTTATTCTAAAATAGGTTAAAGATGTACTTAGGATTATTTCTGATGCATGATGAAAGAGGTGTTACACTGTTATCTTGAAAGCAGATGTTTCATGGAAGAAGTTGTAGAAATAATTCTATAACAGATGACTTAAAATGATTTAAGGATAAGGTTGTATAACGGGAGGGAGCAATGGGGTTAAGAATCCTTAAGAAGTAAAACTGGCAATTGTTATTTGGATGGATTCAGATTAACAGGAAGAGTTAAGATTGACTTTCAGTGCTTTGGATAAGTGGTGGATGGTGACGATATTGACACAGGAAATGTAAGGAAAAGGTTGTTGTGGGAATGGGGTGATGGAGAATCTGAGGGTGGGAGAAGAAACGAGTTTAGGTTTGACCATGATGAGCTTGAGGTAAGCAAGTAATGACAGACAAGCTTAAAGTAGGAGGACAATGGGGAGAGTCCATAAACCTTAATGGGGCAAAGGATTATGGGAGTGTGGAGATATGAGTTTTAGAAACTCACTTGGGCAGTGAAGAGGACTGATGTTCACTTCCAAGTCTAAGGAATGTGAGGAATGGGATTGATGAGGTAATTCCCCAAATGAGGGTTGCTGGAAGGGCAGTCTTCAAGAGGTACATTAGTTCCCTTATGGCTGCTGAAACAAAGTCTCACAAGTTGATTGGCTTAATTAAAACAAGAGAAATTTATTGTTACACATCTCCAGAGGCTAGAAGTCAGAAACCTCTAGGTTGCCATTTTCCAACCTCTGGTGGTTTGTTGGAGATTTTTAGTGTTCCTTGGTTCCTTGAAGTAAATGCATTGCTCTAATCTCTGCCTTTCCCTTTGTGTCTCTATCACCATGTCATCATTTTCTGATAAGGACACCAGTCACATTGGCTTAGACCAATGCTTCTTCAATATGACCTCATCTTAACTAATTACACTGGCAGTGAGCCTTTATTCAAATAAGATAACATTCTAGATATTTGGAGTTTGAATTTTAACATATCCTTTTAGGGGACAAGTTCTGCCCATAACAGGAAAGATACAGGTTTTACTCCAGAAGAAATGCAGAAACATGCTTTTGCTGTTAAATGGAGATTTTGTTGCCACCATCTCTAAAATGCCTAAATAAAATGGTTAAGGGTTATGATGGTGGGTGGTGGGGGTTCTAGTCAGAAGAAAGGGGAGAGGAAGAACTGACATTCTAGGTGACAGAAGATTGATAAAAATGTGAAGCATGAGGAACCAGATGAAGTTCTGGTTTAATGGTCAGCCATGATGAATGTGGCCTAGTTGTGTGGCAAAAACACATTCCACAGCAGGGAACTCTGGGTAGAGGAGCATCCAGTGGTATACTTCTGGTTGCTGTTGCCTGGTCAGTTACCACTTACTGATGTTTGTTGAAGAGTCACTTGCTTTTAGCAGTTTCTCAGAGTTTTCTATACTGTGCCTGAATTTTCCTAAAAGCTGCCAATGTCACTATTTTATTCTTTTAATTATTTTCCTCTTGCTGCTTCTAGCAGGTGGGAAGCAGTTATAGCTTGGCAGACATGTTGATGTTCATAACTTCTTTATTTTCTTTGGGAATTTGAAGATTTCTTTTATTCCCAGAGAATTTAAAAATAAATCCAATGAATAAAGTTGTTATTGTTTGAGAAAACCTTTTCTATGTACTTCTTCTTTTATTGCCCTTATG